GGCGCAATGGCTAATAAAAAAAATAATATTCAAAAACATAAAACTAAAATGTGGTAAACGCCTAGTCAAATACCGTCATATACCGTGAAACCGGTATAACTTTGAAAAATACCGTCATATAAATTTTTGGTCATGCCGCCCAGCTCTAATCTGTGGCATTATTTGTCAGGACATATATACAGCTGGTTTCTCATCTCAAGTCGATTCTGATACCTGAATCCAGACCTAAATAGCTTACAACCGGACAGTTTACATTCAGGTCCTTGGTGAAATACAATCGCTGACTACTGCCCTCCTGCCCCGGATCTTGCTGAGTAACTGATCTTCAGGGTGAAATTTATAAAGAAATTATGTGAATTATTTTATTGATGCCAGAGGACCACCTGACGGCGGTCTTTGGCTGCCTGATCTCTCGGAGCATAGTGTGTTGAGCTTTGCCTGAGCTTCCGAAAGCGGTGGGCAGATATCCTGCAGCACGTCGGGACAGATGCGCTGTGTAACCTGAGAAGCCGGAGCGTAGTGGCCGCCGTGATTTTGAGTCTGACTTTGACTGACTTCTAGCAAAGCTGTGCTACAGGCTCTTCGGCGCCTGTTTTATGGGTGTCCCGTTTGCATGACTTTAGACCTGGCTGTAAAAGCAGAGATGTGAAATTGGATCTGGATATTAAGATGGGGGCCCAGATCATGGTGTATAGCACTGTGCGAGCATGGATGTGCACCCAGGAACAGAGATGTAAGAAGTGATCAGTCAAGGCCAGAGAAAATAAAGCATGTGCTGGGATTCCAGGCAGGCTGACTAATTGATCCCAGATTGATGCGTGACTCATGAAGTAAATGTTAAATAAATATGTTACAATGTTGACAATGAAAAGGCTGTTGTTCACTCAACTTCATTTATGCGTTTGCCCTGATTCTCAGCTACTGTAGTGTGTTATGCATTTTTTTCTAATTAACTGCCATGTTTATTCCGTGATCACAGCTGGCTTTAGCTGGTGTTTTTCCACACCACCTTCAGGAAGTGTTAAAGCACTAGATCCAAACTTCCAGATGGGGCTTTTGGTAGAATGGTGATCAGATCAGTCGCAGGCTGTGCTGCGGAGACCTCGAGCATGAAACACAACGTGAACTGATCGTGTACATTAACAGCTCAATAAAAATGAAACGATTTGATGCTAGTGTCACTTGAGGTGTATATGTTTCAGAGAAGTTTCTAGGTTCTGCAGTGTCAGCCAGACAGTTGGTGCATTAGGGTTTTTTTTCCTTTACATACAGTACAAGATAATGACCCTAAGCACTGTTTGTACTAAGTTGGCCTATTGTTTTGTGAACAAGCACAGAGATGGAGTGCTGTGACCGATGACAACCCCCCGACCTAAACTCTGCAAAGCTGGTGTAGGATGAGTTGGATCCTAAAACTAAGAGCGAAGTAACTAATTTGTGCCCAGAATTTGTGGAAACGCCTTCAGGATCTGCAATGCTGTTATTGAAGCCAAAGGGGGCTGTTTTGTAGAGTCTAAAATTTGAGAAAATTCTGAGATGTTGAACACTTCTCTTGGTTGTTGCAATATTTGATATGTACAATCGGTTTTACATCTGCAGATTAAACTGAAAATATGTGGGGGATAAAAATCAACTTCTGAGCAGCAAAACTTAAATTTGCCGCACATTGAGCACTATGCTGAATCCACATGAATGAAGTGACGTGTAGGTGTACCCTGCTGACAGATTCTCAGTCTCTCTCCAGCACTTGTTGTTTGAGCATTGTTTGCCTTGCGTCTCTTTCGTTCGCTACTTTTGTTGTGTGTACTGTTTGTTTCTGTGAACAAAATAACAACTATTTTTTGTATTGCATTTACATTGTATTAGTTAATCCATTACATTTTATTAGGTATGTTAAGTGAGTTTATGGCAGGATGTTAGGATATGGCGTATGTTATCTGTAAATGCTACACCATTTTATATGAAGAACTTGAGAATTCATAGATTTTGGTATCAGTGGGTGGTCCTGGAACCGACCAACCAGGAACCGAGGAATGACTTACTTAATTGCCTCGAGGCCTTTTACGATGACCAACATAGCTAAAATAGAAACAAATGCATCAAAAGCAGATGTGTCCAGACTTTTGACTGGTACTATAGGTAATAAGTTCATAAGGCCAGATGGCTTCCATGTTGGTTTGGCTTTACGGTTCAGAGGGATAAGGTGGATTGCTGATTGGTTTTAAGACGTTCTTGTGTACTTTATGAATTTGTTTGTGTGTATGTGTGTGTGGGTGTGTGTGTGTGTCTGTACCCAAGGAAGGAGGAAACTCGTTGTGATGCTGGGGGGTACTTCCTGTCCACAGGAAGTGAGCGGGTGGCCAGTCGTGATGAGCTGCATTGTGTTTGAGCCATGGGGCTGAGCGTAAACACTGGTTCCCCAGAGATGCCATTTCGCTCTCTCCCCCAGACCTGGCCGGCCCCTTCCTGTGCCCCCCTTCACCAGAATCATGCCCCAATTGAGCCTGAGCTCTTGGCTAATTAGTATTCATGTTGTATTCTGAAGCCGGTCCATCATCTGCAAAGGTCTCTGTTCTCGGCTCTTCTTCCTGGGATTCAAACCCCCCCTATTTTAACACCTTCTGGGTCAGTGTTTCCCAGTCTGCTCCTTAAGGACCCACAGCCAGTGCATGTTTTTGCTCCCTCCCAGCTCCGAATCCAGTCATCGTGGACCCTCAGCCCATCTGTGGACTGTCTGTGGGTCCCGAGGGCCAGATTGGGAAACGCTATTCACGGTAGATCACGCTGTTAATCTCTCTTCAGCCAGTCTGAATGTGCTTCCCTCTCAGGACTGCAGAAAGGTTGCTTTGCTTGAGCAATGGTAAATCCACAAGTATCTGTTGTGTGAATATGCTTAAATTGTATAGTTTTGTGCAGAATCTACACTGTCCTACTGCAAATCTCATGGTCTCTGAGATTATCTCTGTTACTCTGTACATTCTGTATGCCCAAACCATTGGAGTATTTCTGGAAAGGATAACCAAGTTTGCTTCGTTGCTGTGCTCTTTTAAGGCATGTCCTGTTTTGGGGGGAGTATGTATACATTATATAGAAAACTAAGGTTCGTAGGAGCTGAGATTTGTACTAGTTAGTTTCAGTAAATAGGAGAGACTGGTGTATCTTAATAAAACAATGATTTTGCTGGTAGTTTCTTTTTGCATTTGATGTTGCGGCTGGTGGTCATGAGCCCACCTTTTTTCCTGGTATGCTAATATATTTCAGTATTTTGGATGGGTCTTGTCTACATGGTGTGCATGAAATCTGGGGGATGGGGGGGACGGGGGGGGGACGGGGGTGCCTGTCAGTAGGGGTGATGTTGCAAATGTCTTCTCTCTGCCCACACATGTGACTGGGAAAGTGGAATCTTTACCTTGGTGTGAAAAGTGTTAACAAGCGAATTCAGTCAAACGTTTATACAAACCTTGCAGTGCTAATGTAATGTGTTTTGGAATTCAGTCAGTGGAAATTTTGAACGGTTCTGAACTTCTCTCTAGACATGCTGATTGAGCAATACTCCCAGCTGACAGTGTGACTCTGTTTAGTTTTCTTGGTGAAAGGGTTCCCCCTTGTGGTTGAAATATGTATAGTTTTGAGTGCCGGAATGGTTTTTCAAAAGTGACTTATGCTGCATATTATGTACAGTGATCCCCCGCCTATCGCGGAAGATGCGTTCCAGACCATTAGCGATAGGTTTTCATAGTTTAAGCCTTATTGTACCCCTCCCACACGTTTTAAACACATGTAAACTTATTAAAACAACACATATATGTGGATGTTAGGCTAGGGATATGAGTAACACAATAATAATAATAAATAATAATAAATAATAATAATATGTAGTGTGTGTGTGTGTGTGTGTGTGTGTGTACATCCCTAACACATACACACACACACACACACACACACACACACACACACACACACATATATGTGTATATATATATATATAAGCAATTAATCGATTATCAATTAATTGTCGATAAGAAATTACTCGATTTTAAAATGTATTAATTGCAATTAATTGTATTTTGAACCCATAATTCCTTGCCAGTCCTCGTGGGACGCACTTGACGCCAGACGTACTTGACGCACACGCGGGAACACAAGCAAACAACAGATAAAACAACAGATAAAAGAGAAACGGTACACAGAGGAACCTATTCAGAGGGAAATTCAGCTTCTCAGAAAAATTGCCGCTTAGCAATTAATCGATCATCGATCGATAAGATGAAACAACTATTGATTAATGAATTACTCGATAATTTGCATCCCTAGTATGTGTGTGTATGTATGTATATATGTATATGTGTGTGTGTGTGTGTGTGTGTGTGTGTATGTATGTATATATATATATACATACAAAGGTGACCCTTTGGCATATATATATACACACACACACACACACTGCTGGGGCATTTTGCTCCGAGAGATCTCTCTCTCTGTATACGTAATGGAATATATAAAAATAAAAACATATACCGTTGATTCATTCAAGCCATAATGGCGAGTGATGTCCACGTAACGCTTTCCTTCCCGAAGCATATCCAGGAGTTTTACCTTCTCCTGAATGGTCAAGGTCTTCCTCTGGCGCTTAGACTCACTACTACCAGAAGGCTTAGAAGATGCAGGACGCTTGGGAGCCGTCGTAGGGCTTAAAACAAAACGAAAACAATCGGAGCACAAGCAAGGTACGCGATACGCAGAGAACTGTGGCGTGTCGGGGAAAAATCCGCGATATTGCGGGGGCGCTATAGCTGAACCGCGATATAGCGGCGGATCACTGTACTGCACTTTACTGACCTTCGGTAAGCGCTGGATTAGTTCAGGGTGAAATGTTGGTCAGTTTACTGTGACTTATGACCTTAATGCTTCTTTTCCTGTAAGAGGATGATGTAACAGAGAGGGATTGTGGGAGGAGATGGCCGTCCTTCTCATTACCGTGATCTGTCCTTCTGTGACAGATCAGTGTATGATGGACAGGAACATGGCCTTTTTATGGACAAGCTGGAGGGTCGGATTCGCAACCATGACCGCGAGATCGAGAAGATGTGCAACCACCACTTCCAGGGCTTCGTGGACTCCATCACGGAGCTGCTCAAAGTGCGCGGCGAGGCCCAGAAGCTCAAGGTGGGTCAGCGGCAGAGGCCTGCAGAAAGCAGGGAGGTTCGAGGGGCAGAAGGTGGAGAGTGACCTCGCTGATACACGGATTGGTAAAGCTGTGTCAGTGTGGGTTGTGTTTCTGAACGGTCTGCTTCTCATCTCAGAGTCAGGTGACTGACACCAACAGGAGGGTCCAGGATGATGGGAAGGAGGTAAGACCTGTCACCCTCCTTGGGGATAATTTATAACCATCTTTTGAATTTCATAATTAAGACCTTTATTGAGCTGCAGCATGGTAGTCATGCAACACATGCACATTCTGCATATGAGTTTATGTATTGGGAGAAGGATGGATTGATTATTTTGCATGTAAAACTATTTAGATAAAAAAAGGTTACATGACCATCCATAGCATAAAACATTATCCATAGCAGCCTTCAGCAGAAATGGAAGCTACAACTGGATCGACTGAAAATGTATTTGAATGCAAACACATCTAATCACACTATACAAAATGAAGGTTCTCGAGTGACCTGTGAGAGAGTGAGCAAATACACCAAGGAATACGGGCAAAGATTATACCAAGCTGACCTGATGGAGACCGTCCCAAATGGTATTTCCCACCAGGTTTTCAGTTCATCGACCTCTTTGAAGGCATTTTAATTCATAAAGCTGTGCTCGGCACTTCAGAAAAAAATCCTGGCCCGATGTAGATAAAAGCAATATATCTGGCTCACTCTGCCCGTACTTTATGGACTTTGAAGACACAGGGTAATATTTCAATCCTGAATTGAGTTTTCAAAGGACAGACTTTTGATTACTTTTCCATATGCCTACAGCTCTTGACCGCGATGGACGAGTTGCGGCAATGTCGCCTTCAGCAGAGGAACATCGCCACCACCATTGACAAACTGGCCCACTGTCTGCCCAGTACGTCTCTTACACATTGCCTTGTTCTGAAATGCTGGCTGAGGCTTTTCTGTAAAGATCAGCATTAATTGCTTGATTTTAGAGCCAGCCCTTGTGCTGCAGGAGTCCAGGATTGGCAGAAACATTGTAACATTGAGGCTGTTTTTGGCTTTCAGTGCTGGAGATGTACAGCAAACTACAGGAGCAGATGAGGGCCAAAAGGTACCAGTTTGAATTTTTTTTGTGCCATTTTGTCAAGGTGTGTGTGTGTGTGTGTGTGTGTGTGTGGTTGGGGGGGGGGGCTTTAAATATCATCCTGTTTGATTTTGTTGCCCAGCCAATGCATTTTGCAGAAATTCATAATTCATAATTTGTGTAGCAGTGATTTCACTGTTAATACTGTTAATACCTAATTTCTCTAGGGACTGGTTGCTAATGCATAATGAGGATCCTCGACTGGAGTGTTCATATCCTGTTTGCATGACTACCTCTAGGTGGCAGCAGATGTCAGGTTTAGCCCGTTACTGAGAGGGAAGCTGCGCAGATAAAGGCAACATAGTGTGAAGTATGATGTATCTCACATCAGTTGGGTTCTTGTGCCGGAAGCCACAGATCCGTCCATCTTCAGCTGGGCTGTTACAGCTTTCCAAGGTGCAGAGGTGTTGCCCGTTTCATGGGGAAATGATGAGGGGGTAGCGCAGGGAAAGGGGGCCATGATGTGAAAGAGAATTTAGGGTAGGGGTACTCGGTTGACGGTCTCTCGACGAACCACCCCCGGTGGGGAAAATCCACCGAGGTGACCCCACTCCTCGCTAGAACTTACGGAGGAAGCTTTGGCATTGTGGTCTAGAGCTTTCTCCAGATGATTGGCCAAGCGGTGCAGGCTGTACCTGGCCCTGGATCAGAAGGGTAGCTGGTACTCCTCGGCGAGGCCACTCAGTGCTTCTTTAAATGCTTCGCCACCCCCAGAACATGCAGAAACATGCAGGCCGACTGCACTCTGGAAATTCTGCAAAGCCAATACTCCATCCAGAGCCCCTTGTCCCACGCGGCGTGGCGCGTCTGGGCCCATATTTCATCCCGGCCTGTCAGCTCGATTAGATGCTAGCCTCTCCACCACCACCGACACGCGGTCACCGATCCAGAACTTGAAATTTATTCACAGCAGGAATCCTAATGGTTTCAGCAGCAAACTTTTTTTTTTAATTTTTAAAATTATTTTTCTTTGTATCACCCCCCTCATTACCTCGCTTTCTTTGGACGGGGAAGATCGCAGTCGTAGAGAGGAGTCCATCGCAAGCAGCCTGGGGACCTACAAGCTCTTTTAATAGAAGTTTAGTTTCTGCTCCGTCGCAGTCGCCGATTGGCCCGGGATGCCGCTCTTTTCCACCTTGGCTTAACCCTTCCATTGCTGCTGCTTAGCTTTGCCTGCCGTTCCCTGTTGGGACCTTTGTGGCTGTATTGGGTGCCAGGGGGCTGTCCCTGGTTTGCCCATCCCCTGGCCTGGCCACCAGGGGGCGTGTCTGCTTCAGCCTGCTAACATCCTTGACCCGTCTTGTAAACAGCTTCTGCGTCTCACTCGTCTGTCCCCACTGTGACCTGAAGATGTGCTTCGCCAGGCCTGTAAATCGCTTGCAGTCTCTTTTTTTTTTTTCCTTTTTTCTAAAGATTTATCTGTTTCCCTTCTTGTGGCGCCCCTTGTTTTATTTATTTATTTGCTTTTGGCTCTCGCCGCTGTCAGGATGGAGGTAACGAGCAGGTCCGCCAGTTCTGGTGGAGTCGGATCAGGTTGTGTAATAGGTCTGGTGTTCGACAGCACGGACGGAAGCCCAGCTTCCCCCCCCCCGAGGCGTCCTTCAGTGAGCCTCCATGATGGGAGGTCACCCTGTACTGGTGGGAATTAGGAACCTCCAAAAAAAAACTGCCTTTTTCTGTTTCTGCCTCCAGATCTCTTCATGTATGCATTGGGTTGCTTGGTTCAGTGGTATAATTGACCTACAGGTCAATTCATTCGCTTATGTTCCTTGAACATCTACTCCTACAAAGATGTGCACTGTACAGAGAGTGTCCCCTTACTGCCCCCTACAGGTACTACCCGGCATTACGTACCCTGGAGCAACTCGAGCTCTCCTGCCTGCCCCAGGCTGGCCAGTACCGGTTCTGTGGCATCATGGCGGAGAACATACCGCTGCTACGTACCCAGATACGCGACGTCTCCATGTCCGACCTTAAGGACTTCCTGGAGAGCATCCGCAAGCACTCGGAGAAGATCGGCGAGACAGCCATGAAACAGGTGAGGGCCCAGGAGGGGGCCTGCTGGCCAGCCAGTGCCGATGATGTCACCAGACTTGAGATTCGGTGTTCATCTGCACGTCCGTGACTCTCTTTAGAGGTCACAGTCTGCACGTGACTTTGAGAGGTCGTCCCCGGTGCGCCTCCTAACCAGGGGCCTCTCTGATTGGTTCGTTCGGCGTGGATCTTGGCCGCACGTGTTCCGCTGAGCCGAGACTCGTGGTCCTGCTGGGTGAACTGCTGGGGCATTTTGAGGGGGGGTGGGGGGGGGGGGGGCTTCCTTCTGCTGGCAGTGCCCAGGCATGTCTCCTTCAGAGGTTCAGCCAGAGTGTAGCAGTAATTACTGGAGGAGCAGTCGGGACGGTATGCGCCTCCTCTCCTCTGCTCTCCCTCCAAGCCCCTGCAGGCTCAGCGACAATCTGCTCTGAGTTTTACAGCGTTCAGAGCACGTGTAGCACTGCCAATGCACCACTGCTTATTTTTTGTTTCCTTTGCTATAGCAGAAAGCTTCATCCAAAGAGCAGAAAGTTCGAGCAGCTTCTGCGATTTTTTAAAAAATTTTTTCCCCAGTTAGTTAACCGGAGGACCTGTGTGCTGCATTTAGATATGCAACAGAAACGGGTCTGCAGACGTTTAAATCTCAGTTTCGCTACTTTAACCATGTGTCAAAAACGAGCGCTTTTACGTGCCTGTCCGCGAGCGGCGCCCCCTTTGGGTGGTGCTTGCGCCCTGCGGTACGCAGACAGAAGGGAACGACGGGGGGGATGCGGGGGAAAAGTGAAACGCTGATGGCGTGGGCTCCTGCCTGGCTAACCCCCTCATCCCGCGAGGGGCCGGCGGGGTAACATCCCCGAGCATTTGAAAGCGTTTTGTTTTGTGATGGAATGTCTGGCAGAATTTTGTTTACTGCTGATTAGGACAAGATGCGGCGAGCGGGCTTGGAGGGACTCACCCGCGACCATCAAAGGCAGATTCTTCCAGGGCACCCGCCTGAACGAGCATGTGTGCTCGGGGCTCCGCTGGCCTCCAGCAGCGTCCTGAGTGGGCCGTTCACCTACAGGGTTTGAGGTCCGGGACTGGTTGTGTTCTCGAACCCCGCTTCACCTGTCCCGATTTGTGCCAGCCTGTCTTGTAATAATCCCAGAAACCTGCAGTCCAAATGCTCCACTAATGGACCAACTCTTCCATGGCCTGTGAGAGTCTCTGTATGATTCTTTCTTTAGAAGGAGGAACCAATGAAGGTTTGGCTCCGTTTTGTTCCCCTTCCTCCATGATCACCTGTGACTATAGTCCTCACCTCCTCCGTATTATATTAATAAGTAAAAATATGGTAAGTTACTCAGGCCCTCCAGCAGATGTCTGTATCCAATAAGTTTCGAACAGCTGGGATTTGAACGGGCGAATGTACGATTCCACATGTCTGACTGTCGCAGCCTTTCAGCCAGGCCCGGATTTTCCTGATTAAGTTCAGACGGGCATGGAGGTATTACGGGATGATTTCCCAGCATGCTTGGCGTCTCCCTCCCTTTCAGCTGTACTTATAGCTCCTGGCCTTTTTTCTTGGTCTGTTTTTGTTTGTTTTTAATTTCGGTTTTAATTCTTTTCGTGATTCCACCAGCGGCGTGCAGCCGAACATCCCGACCTTTCATGTGTGGTGCTGGCAGGTTTGTGCCGCACAGAAAGCCTGCATTCATTACGGCGACGTGGATTCCGAGGGCGGCCCATTGGTCATGCGGTCGTGGCGGGCCCCGCCGCTCTACGGGAGAAGAGCCCAAGGCGACGGGGGGGAGGCACCCCCCCCCCGCTTTACCCTCCCCTCCCCTCCTGCTTCTAATGACAAACAGGGGCTCTTGTCACGGAGCTGTTACCACTCTCCATAGACAAACGGAATTCGTTTTTGGTGTGTGACTCTGGTGGGTGGGGTCCCCATCCCATATCGCCGTAGTTCTGGAGCCAGTGTGCAGCTCATGCCTGACGGAGGTCTGAATCTGGAGGCTCCTCTGCTCGTCCGATACCCAGACTCCATGGCCCCCTAAAACAGGATTCCTAGCTGGTATCTCTGTTGGTTCTACTGATGGTTACTTATCCAGAGGCAGGTTATCAGAGTTTCAAGACTTGTCAAATTCGGACGACCTGTCCAAGGTTCTTCGAAACTCTCTGCCACAAGATTCCAAAACAAGACTCTAACATGAGACCAAGAGAATCCCGCTCCTCTTACGTCTCTGTATGTTGTCCCTCTGTTAAGCTTGTGCTCACAGTAGTAGAATGCAGGAGGGTCGTGAATTCTTCATTAACGTATCCATGTTGATGTGCTCTGACGCCAACTTTTTTGGTGTAAAACTGTGGGACTTTGCTGTAAATATTTCCCCTTTTTCTGCTGTCAGTGCTGGCTGTGCCGGCCCTGGCTCATGCTGAAACCGATATTCTTACCCCAGGTAATCTACACGGTTCATTAGTAATAGATAAAAGGGGATTTTTTTCAAGACATATCACCTCTATATCTCTTCGTTTTTGTAGCTTTATGACATGATTTTTCTTTCCAATGCACTTTTGAAAGTGAACCACTAACTACAATTGTAATATTAAATCAGATAAAAAGAATGGGGCTCAAGCAGCCTTGTATTCCCTTTCCTGCCTGTAGGTGGCAGCAGAACACACTGCTCAGAGTCCTATCCTCTGATCTCTCCAACTAAAGCGGAATGTTGGCTTGGAAATCAACCACGGTTTAAACCAAAGTAACCTCTGACAAAGTGGTTCTCAAACATTTGCTCACCAGGGTCACTGTGTGTGCATGTGCGTGTGCGTGTGTGTCTGTCATATATATATATATTACATTATGGGGACCAAATGTCCCCACAATATGTTAAAAAATATTTTGACATTGTGGGGACCATTTTTTCGGTCCCCACAAGGGGAAACTCAATCTTATAATAATTTGTGACTGCAATCAAAAAACTAAAAATGTCAAAAGTCTTGTATTTAGTTTGGTTACTTATGGTTAAGGTTAGGGCTGGGCAGAGGTTGAGGTTGTCATAGATGGGATCAGGGATATACCCATAGAAATGAATGGAGAGTCCCCATAAAGATATGAAAACAAACATATGTCTGCTGTGCTGTGCTGTGCTGTGCTGTGCTGTGCGTGTGTGTTTGCCAGTGGTGGGAGTGTGCATAATTTGTAATATTGGTGGTGTGCTTTATTAATGTGGGTGTGTGTCCCCGCTTGCACATGTTGCATAGACGTGTTGTGAGCTTGTGCCTGTTCTCCTGTGAAGTCAGTTATGCTTGTATATAGAATTTTAAAAACTTTCTGTGGACAAATTGTCCCCTGCTAATGTTCTTCAAATGTCTTCCATGATTTACCAGCTGTTCTGTTTTTCTCTTCTTATTTTTAAGTTTTGGGAAACACATTTACAAAGATTAATCATTAAGGCAATAGTTAATCCTCAGTATTAAACAGCTGCCTCTAATGTTTTAGCCAAAATGGCTAATGGCTCTGCCTTGTTGAGCCTTTCTCTTGTTTTGCTAATGCACAAAAAGGACTGGGACGTTTTTAATTACGCATCCAGTTGAAGTTCAAATGAGAGCTGAACATAAGCATAATTAATGGTGTGGCAAGAGATGATGTAGAGCAGAGTTTCCCTAGTCCTTGGTCCTGGTAGCTATGGAAACCAAAGCCTACATTGTGAAGATTTCTCCACTTCTGAGAGAAAATTGCATGGTTGCTTCGTGAGGTAAGATCAGTGACTCCGCATGGATCTGGTTTGGCTCCCTAGTCCTGCTGCAAAACAAACTCTGCTGGAGGCTGAAGTGGTGATCAGGTGACTGTCCCGCGTTTTTGGCGTCGTCTGTGAAGGCCGATACTCCTTTGGATGTGAGAACATGTATGTGTCTGAGAGAGAAAGAGAGAGAGAGAGAGAGAGAAGCAGACCATGAAGAAGCCATAGAAGTCAGCAGTTCAACTTTTTCTCCATCTTTCATGGCCGCTTATCCTGTGACGGGCGGCGGTGGGCTTTGGGTTCTGTCACAGAAAGCACAGGGCCTGAGCCTGGGAGGCACCCTGGATGGGATGTCTGTCTATCACAGGGCCCACACTCAGACTCGCACAAGCTCACACTACGGGCAATTTCGTGTCTTTTTGGCTGCCTGGTTGTTTTTGAATTGCGGGAAACAGCCGATGAACCCGCCTGAATCTGGGGAGAACGTGCAAACTCCACACACAGCAAGGGGGAAGGAATTTGAACCCACAACCCTGGAGGTGAGCTGTAGACACAACGTTCCTCCGGTATTAAAACAGCAGTTTCGCGTCTCAGCCGGTCATGTGCAGTAATTGAAGTTTGGGTCCTTCATTTGCTTGTTTTAAAAGCTGGATGGTGCTGTTGTCGCCCAGTGTGTTTCCAGGGAAACACTGGCCACGTTGTTCACTGTACCTGCCCCTTGCCTGGCTGTTGCGCCCAATGCCAAAGGGGCCAGACTACTAATCGCTGGAGACTTTCAGTCTAGCGGTTTGCCTGTCCAACAGCCTTCCAGTCAAGAGCACTTCCCATCCGGGGAGAAATTAGATGAAATCGTTCGTATGTGAGAGCGTTTGACTTCCGCTAACAAACGAATAGAAAATAAATGGGTGATGGAATCTGGTGTGGTGATAATGGCTCCGTTGTGCAAGCTGGGGTGGGGGTGTACTGGCAGACAGAGAGGGCGGGACTGTGCTGGAGCCCTACGCTCCCTCTCCTACCTCTCCTCATTTCTCCTTCATCTTTCCCTCTGCTTTTTTAATTCTTTTTTCTCTTCTTGTTCACTCCATTCTTTTATTTCTCTTTCCTCTCTTCCTCCTCCTGCATCTCATTCCCTCACCCTTTCTCATTCTGCTTATCAAATCATCTTCCTCCTTTCTTTCTGTCCCTCATCGTCCCCCCCCCCCCCTTGTCTTTTCCGTGTCTCCCATTTCTCTCCCTCTTTCTGCAGTGCCTCAGGGATACAGAGGTACAGTTTCCATCAGACCTC